AATCGTGTGTGTGTGTGTGTGTGTGTGTGTGTGTGTGTGTGTGTGTGTGTGTGTGTTGTGTGTGTGTGTGTGTGTGCGTGCGTGCGTGCGTGCGTGCGTGCGTGCGTGCGTGCGTGCGTGCGTGTGTGTGTGTGTGTGTTGATGTTTTGCAAAGAATCCCGTGAAAATGACGCTTTCTTAAGCTTGAATAATCGATTGTATAGTTGATATGTAGATCTGCTACTGAATATTACATACATGTCGTACTAACCAGCCATGAGATAAAATCCACTCTGTAACGAGTTAACGAATGCGACACTCGCTTTCGACACAGAGAACGCGTCTGCGATATCGTTCAGAAATACGCCAAAACTGAAAATGATACCGTCGACAAAGAAGTTGCACATGAAGGAGGCCGCAACAATCACCCAGCCCCATCCTCCGTCAGGTGGTACAACCATTTCCACTTCGATAGTCTGTTAACAAATGTTAATGAAATTGTCACGAATATCTTCCAAAGACTAATTTAGTGTATATTCAAGTAAAATTATTGGAAACGATCGTCCTAACACAAATTGTTGCAATTGTTATATTACTTCTATTATCTTTATCTTAAACTTTAAATTAAGAGCGAGTAATTCTGCTTTAATTTTAAAAAAATTTTTATTTATTAATATATATATTAATAAAGGAAAATATTCTGCGATATTGTAAATTAACAAAGTCTAGCGAATGATAAAATCTCTCTATAAAAAATTATTTTTATATTTGCGATATAATATTTTTATATAAAAATATAGAAAGCAACAAAGAATTGAAGATTAAAATGTGCGATACATAAAAATATTAAAAATAACGTGATAAATAATTAAAATTTTTTGTTTAATTTTTTAAGTAATATATAAGCAACTTACTATGAATATCGATTTTTTTTTGCAGATGAACGTAAAAAATGAAAATTAGAAATTTATGATTTCTTATTAGTATAAAAATTTATACAGGTACATATGTTAAATTTAAGAGACAATGTAAGGCCAGAAGCATAAAAGTTGAGAAAAAAGCACAAATATAAATTATTTGAAAATAATTGCGTGTGTAAATATGAATGATTAATTTACCGATAAACTAACAGTTATATGATTTGATTAATATGTCACTCTTAATCTATAATAATCTTAATTTATATGCTGAAAAAATTTATGGAGATATGTACGATTGAACACAATGTGATATACATTTAAAATTTAAATAATCGCAATATGTTTTATATAAATTTGTCTTCTAATCGTTACTTATAATTTCACTAGCATATATTAATTTAAATTTTTTGAAAATATTTTATACTTATAATTTATAAATATGAAAAATAAATATTAAAGTACAGTTTAATAATTATTTTTTAATAATAAAAAAAATGATATAAAAATGATATAAAGATTAACTATTAACAAGAATTTAATTTTAAACATTTCTTTATGCTGTATTTATTAATTTGTAAATTTTATAAAAATTTTAATTTGTATACTTAAAATATTGTGATATTTAATATAGTAATTGTTTAGTATTATTTCAAAATAGAATTATTAATAACTTTTTTTAAGGATAAATTATTCCCTAAACGAAATTATTTATTGATGATTGATCGAAGACATAATTATACTTTTTGCATGAATTTTAATTAATGTTGTATCTTATTTATATGTAAATATGCATGGCAGTGTTGCAACAAACAACAGAGTCGTACATTCAAACTACATATTAGAAACTTCATATCTCGGCTATCGATAAATTCTAAGGGTGATAATTATCGCGTGAGCGCTGTTTTCTCGCTCGTGAGAAAACATGATACGATATATATACTGAAACTAATTTGCAGAAGCGGCACGAAATCGGTTAATTCGCAAGTGTCCTGATATTTCGACATCAACATTTACTCGTTGGAAATTCACAAGGTGCTAAGGTCAAGGCTGTGCAGAAAGCCATCTAAAACCTGGTCTTCAGTAATGTGGTCATTTCATGACCCCAAACTTCAAATGTTATCAATCTACTGTCAAACTGCGTGCGCCTAAAATGTTGATTCTTGTCGCAGAGCGCAATTACTTTACATTGAAACAAAGACAAAATTTGAGAAAGAAAAGAATTAAAGGGAAATATTCTTGAAATTACAGAATTAATATTTTTCAACTGGATGGAATTCATGAAGAATTTATATTCTAATTACATTTCATTATATTTTAATGGTAATACACTGACAATAATATAATTTATAAAAACGGGAAACTCATTGGCTATTAACCCGTATAAGTATTCGTTTATTCTTGACAATTTGATCAACAATTGATCAAACAATCGATTGAATACGAAACGTTAAAGGAGACAAAATTATTCGACACATCCGAAACGGATTTCTTACAATTCAGAAAATCGTCGCGATGGTTTTCATTTCCGTCGATGACAGAGAGATGACACCCTTTTGTGTGATTAAAAGCGTAGATGCGTAATCCAGATGGACTCATTGTGCGAAAGCTCCATTATTCGCGCAGAAAGTGGACGCACATGTACGTCGATTATTCGCGATTAGCGTATAAATCGAAAGGAGCTTTATCGTTGCTCGCGTCGCGCTCGTGCTCGCGCCGTTTAATGTCGTGGCGGGCAGATAAGAAGAAAATTCAACGAGAGACGCGTATCCGCCCCTGGATGACCCACGGCGAGACAAGGACTATCTGGTCCATTATGTGTCGCAAATAAAGCGATATCGCGGTTTGCAGTTTTACCGCGCGCGATCCGCTCGCCGTTCTCAGCGCGAGCGTACTGATCGCGTCCGCGGCCGGCAGGCGTCGCGCGAATGATCGCGCGCGATACGCGCATTTTTTCTTGCACCTTCCGCATTTCGATACACCTACGGGTCGGGAAATCACCTCGTCATTGTTGTTGTCGTTGACGTCCTCGAGCTGCAGCTCCTCGCTCTTGTTGCGCTCGTGACCGTTTTGCTGCGGCTTGCTCACATCGGAAACCTGCCCATCCATTTTGCTCGCCGTCGTCGACATCCCCGTCCCGTCCGAATGTCTGAAACACGTTCGCGCGAAATGTCAGTTGAAAATTTATTCAACTGCTGCATTCAATTCTTGATGGACGTTGTTTCGATAATGATATATTTGACTTGGATACTAAGAAAATATATATATACTGAACATTTAGGAAAAATCCGATAACTTTAGTGACACGGCTAGACATAATGTTTATTTCTATTAATAACAGATTAACTTTGATTTCAATTTAATCAACATTTTAGTTTTTCTAACTTTCAGAAAAAGATGCCTTAAAATAATATGAATGATAGGTATAAATGATAGGTTGAAAGGAATGAACATATAAATGATTTCTGAACATATTAATTCTGAAAAATATAACTATAACATTCTTCTCAACTGTTACTGTAAAAATAGAACGAAATTTTTTTACATTTTGCAATCATATCAATTTGCTAACTATTTTCGTTTCCGATGTTTATTATTTATGTACATTATGATATCTATTATGACATTTTCACTAAGATTCGTAATAAATTGATAAAGCTGTAGAAAAAAGTTATGGAAAGTTATGGAAGAATTATTGATAAATTACTTTGTTATAATGCATAAAGATTCTTTACTAATTTTATATTCTTTTTGTATATTTTTTCATTCCGCCTTTTAATTGAAGTGTAATAAAGATTGAGGATTAATCTGGTTTGAAAGAATGTCGCTTGAAAGTAGCGTGAATAATATTCAAAGCGACATACATCTGCATACATCAATTTATATCATAATTAATAATGAAACTTGAATGATTTTTGCCATTTGCTTCAGTGTCTAATCTATTTGTCTTTGTCAAAAAATAACAAATTTCACGAGAATAGACTTCCGTATTTCCCTCACGATATACAAAATGAGTATGTTCATTAAATATAAAGTCGAGCAATAGAGTTAAGCAGTTGAGAATTTATATTTCGAAATTATTAATAATTTACGGCAAAATATTACGGCATTTAAATCACGTAACACTGATAAAAGATTGATCAGCTCATGTAATGAAACAAAACCGCTATGCTTGCAACTGAATTCAGGGAAAAATCTGCTGAGATTAAATAAAGATTATACAATCGTAAAAAAAAATATCTTCCTGTGTCTAGAATATGTTGCATAATTCTGGCAAAACTCCGATAAAATAGATATTAATAGATATTAATATAGAAGACTCAAAGTCAAATCTGATTTTTTTTTGTCAACGTTTCTCAACAATTCGACTGTTTCTTTCTCTCAGGCATGCGAATCCCAATAATATTGAAGCAAAAGAACGATTCGCTTATTAATTGAGTGTTGATGTAAAAGACGATGATATCAAACCGGTTAATAGGTAGTCGCGTGCCGACGAGTTTTCAGTAGTAAACTTTAAATCAGCCTTGATCTTTCGGAATTCTTTCGTTTTCCTTGATCTTCCTGTTCGAATTCAGTTGCAAGCATAGCGGTTTTGTTACGCGACATCTTGGCAAGCATTTAGACGATAAGCCACTTGGGAATTCATTACATGAACTGATCAATCTTTTATCAGTGTTACGTGATTGGTTATAATTCCGGATTAATAGCGTAACTAGTCGATGACATTGCAATATAGTATGTTATCAAGAACAATGGATAAATAGACAACTACAGGATTAGATGATTTCGTTATCGCAATCATTATTGTGTGTCACGTTTAACAAGCTAGGAATCTTTACTCAATTTGAAATTAATTTTTTTTATCGAGAATGTCGCAATTATTTGTCACGAATTGTCTTTTATATTAAATACTATTGCAGCTAATTCTAATATTTCTAAAATTAAAATTCTAAAATTGATTAAAATAAGTAAAAATTTTCTTCTCTATTTTCTCGTAACTCTGTTCTCGAAAGAGATCTCTAATTTTAATCGCTACCGTTTAATTCTTAATGACTGATCGATTTGCTCTGTGATTAAGAAGATAGGACAAATGATCAAAGCATTCGCAATCAGAATGTGATTTAATAAATCTAGGATGTGTGATCAAATTAAAAGATATTAAAGTGATTGACTCGTTGAAATTCTACTTACTGCTTGATCGACTACATAGATGTTTACGAGGAGACAGCGAAATCGGAATTATAATAACATTTAATGTGTCTGAAGTATGAAATTTATCTCGTATATCTTATATCTAGCGTTTTATAAATCGACGATAAGATAGGTTTAACAAAATACTTATTTCTGATAGAACGTACAAATAAATACTTCTCCAATTCGGAGCATCTTTTCATATTCGATATTAATTTTATTACCTGATCGCGACAGTTTCTTTTCTCTCTCTCTCTCTCTCGTTCTTTTTTCCTTTTTAACTTTTTATGACGTCTTGCAATACACGTGTGATTACGTTGTCTGTCTTTCAGATATAATATCAGAAGCAATTAAGAATTACGACCTCGTCTTTCGCGTGTGCACATCTCATTTGCGAAAACCTGAATAATGTACAGCTTTAGCAGCTATCGTGCAAACAAAATTGTGTAAATTTTACTAATTGATAATGGACACGTTTATTTTTATCATGACTCGTTTCATTTTATTCCCTTGGAACCGCTCAGCGATGGTTCGCGCAAGGAGAAAGTAAATTTGGCAGTGGAAACTGTAACTTCGTTCCACTTTTTTCTCGCTGTCCTTGATTAACTCTATCTGGTCTCGCAATGATGATTCTGGCCTTCAATGAAATATTTTGCAAGAAATTCTTCAATTTGCGATATAAAAAATATAATAAAAATAATAAATTTAACATTTTATATAAATTATGTAATTATTATATCTCTAACATTAATAATCATATATATTATTTTATTAACAAAATTTCATTGTTTTTACTTACATTAACATTTTAGAGTTTTATGAACAAATCATTTATTTAACGGTATCTTCTGACATTTGTTTCGGCCGACAATATGAGAGCACATATGAATGTATGGCTGGTATTTATAAAACTATTATACAAGATGTAAAATCCAGATAATGACTTATTCATCGATCGTGCTATTTTAGATATAATCAGTACATAGCACGTTTATTTTTGATTGTAGATAAGATACAGATTATTATCGCGTGATTTGCATATTACATTGGTGATTAGCGTCGCACAATAGATCGTGTTCTCTATCTCATGATCGATATTAACATCTCTCGAATACTCTCGAAAGCTATTTATCGCGCACTTTATCTACTTCACGCTTTTTCTACTTCGCTGGATACAGAATTCAGTTTGCAAAGATTTACTTTGATCAAACGAAGAACGTAAGTCATGCGACCAAAGCGTGTACGCGCGTGAGGAGATATTGTCGCGCTATTTTGACGTAAAGATCCATGCGCCAATGGCTAACAAAGAAGCGCGTAATTAGGACAGAGGAAAAAAATTGACGAAACGAGGTAATCGCGGACTCAGATACGTCCCTCATAATAATTGCTCGTAATAATGGCTGTTCCAGAAACGAGGATGGTTTTTGTAAGAAGCGCTGATTAGCTCTTCAAACACCAAGATAAATCATTATCGGCGCGCAATGGACAATGCAATTTCTGCTAACTTGCTGATAAATTGCGCCTGAGTAACTGTCGAGCGAGCAGATATCCCCCTTACTTTTTACCAGATAAAACGCCAGTAAGGCTCCGCGATTTTATGCCACGTGAGACCGATTGCGGTGCATCGAGGCAATAAATGGCAATAAATTACTGCCTCTTGAAATGGATTTATCATTCGTAGGGGAATAATGAGTAGATCAACATGTTAAAATGATAATTGCGGTGACCAAGAAACACGCTTGAATACAGAACGGAGTACAGGAAACTTATTGCATCTTCCTGGAATAAAGACGATGTTATTGCGCTTCCGACATGCGAAACATGTGTCTCATTAATTCTAGCGTTTTTTAACAATCAAACGGACAATACGGTATTGTTTGATCGATCATTTGTCAAAAAATAAATGAGGAACGAAGTAATTCTAAGTATATTTTCTAACGTAATCATAAATGCGAAGTGCACAACGCATATAGATTTTTACCGATAATCAAAGTAATTGCCATGGAAGTGAGCAAGAAATAATTAGCGCATATTTTTAAATGTAATATTATCAGCTGCAATAACAATATGTATTGTATAATTTATTGCATTATATGCATTTTTTGCGCATTCTCCTTCATGAAATATTTGCATCGCTTCTTACTTCTTTTTATCTTAATTTATTTGATTCATAAAAATTCATGAAAAAGGTATTTCATATTTTCTAAAATATCTTGTTTATTAATAAGAAATAAAAGTTTGCCTGATTTCTGTATGTGTCGTAAAAGTCAACATAGACGTTCAATAAATATCCGATTTATCTTAATTATTTTTGTCATATTCTTATCTTAAAAATTAATTAATTTGCACTTCAATATTTATTAGAATTTCTCGTTGTTATCGTATTTTTAAAAATATTTTCTAAAGGTATATTAAATAATATTTTGATCCACCGTTCTTATAAGTCAGACGATTAAATTGTTCTTAGATACTACTTCAATAGATATATTTCAATAATTACTTAAGAAGGAGATAACAATCGTTATCTCTTTCTTTGCCATAAGGCGCCACCAAGAGCATTTGTGAGCAATATCTTATTATTAGTGTCTAAAAAATGTTTACGAGCTTCCTTCACGAGCCTATAGATTTCTCATAAAATAGATTTCTCATAAAACTACCTCGAACGATTGAACGCTGAGGAAATTAGAAATGTGAATTATTTTCTATTAGATCGCGATACGTTTAAACCGCACGGTGTTCGCAAGAATTATAAAATATGTTTTTTAATGAATTGCGTAATATGCGACTGGGTATTCCATGGCAGGTATAACAAATGACTTTACGACGATGAAAGGTGTTTCTGTCTTCCACCGTCTGGCTCTTTCCGCATTATTGTTATTCCGCACCTTCACTCCCTCAATGTTTCCTTGTGAACGCGACGATATGCAAAGATCGCAAAAACCCGATTTCCATTCGCTCAATCGCATGCCGATAAATATTGATATTTGCGCGAGCCAACGCTGCCGTTTGCAATAACATAATTATCGCGGGAGCGGAGATCTTATCGTCCACCGGAATTTCGCAAACATTATTACAAAAGTTCACACCACTCGAGACAGATACTTTGCGGGTGGTCGATGGATTATCTGCGATAAGTAGATTAATCGCGATATCCCGGTATTACGGGGAACAACTTTGGGTTTATCGAGAAATTGCGATGTTTTCTGCCGTTCCGGCAGAAAACTTCAAATTTCACGATTTCCACGAAACAGATTTGCACGAAAATGTATACATGCATGTGAAATTTTTCGTAAAAATATAATATAAGATTATATATCGATAATTTCAGATTATTTCAGAGAAAATTTCAGGCACGTTTCTTAAACAGGTAGGTCAATAACAAACCGGAAGTACCGCGATTTTTATCCATTTCGCGGACCACACGTGAATCTTTTCAAATTCCGCCAGCACATTTCGTGTACTATTCGAAAAATTCATTATGCATTGGTGGGTCCGAATATTTGAATAAATTTTCCGTCATGAATAAGACGTAAAAAAGAATGCAACATAATAAGAGGACAAAGTGGGATGATAAAATCTCGATGATAATACTGTTATATCTGTATTTGCGATTTAGCGTTATTAAAATTATCAGACATGAAAAACAAATGTTAATCTTATTTTTCGTAATTCCCATGAAATTGTCTCATTGTTGTATTTAAATTCATTTGTTTCTTATCTTATTACCATCAATAGGGAAAAATTTCAAGATGTGTAAAAGACAGAATTTGATAGGACTTGTCTGTATTTTAATTTATTTAATTAACAATACTCATATCTTATGAGTATAACACGTGTCATAGGATCGGATTAAAATGCTTTACAAACAAGCCATAAACAGACCAAACCGTGTCCCTGGCTCACTTTTTATCTTTCGAAAACTTCAAATCATCGTAGGTTTCTTCGGACATAATTTAATTGAACAAACTTCGTGGTGCCATTGTAATGCGATAAATGTGTTTGGTTTTAGCTTGCAAATGCTATATTCTCTTGAATCTTTATATTCACTTTTAAAGAAAAAGATTAGATATTTAAAAATTTATTATATTACTTTTCATTATAATTAAACTTTTAAATTATTTCTTTTGAACTCAGTAAGAATATTAATATTAAATACAAAATCTTTTATCAAGGAATGAAAAGTTCTTATATTTTTATATTAAAAAAATAACTTAAGCTTAATTAATAAAGCAAGGCAAATGTAGAATAAATTATAGTTTATCTAATTATTATTTATATAATGCTAATATATATAAGTAAGAGAACTACTTTTTTGAAAAATCTTTCAGCATTTTGATTGTCAATGCAAATAGAGATTGCCTGGTTTTTCATCACGACTAATAAAATAATTATATCTCACCGCATTGTATTTTTATATTTCGACATTTATTATAAATTGATGTTAATTATAAATTTTATGTCTAGATTTTAATTAATTTTATAATATGAAGGTTTCAAGCGAAAATATTTAATAGTGTAAAATAAACGTGCTGAATTTTAAAAAATTAAAAAAAATTAAATTTAATTAAATTTAGCTACATAAATGTACATTTTATGATAAAAACTTTATGTTTTTCTAAATTTAACTTTTGGTTATTGTCTTAAATCTTCATATCTTTGTTAATCATCATGCGTACAAAATAATATAGCGTCTGGTGCATCGGCATTATCAGGTGTGCGCAAAACAAACACCGACCAATTAAACAATTTTCAAGTCTTGAAATAATTTTTAAATTCTTCACGTCATTAGACATATGCGGATTCTGACGTAAAGAAAAAGAAAGAAAACACTCGTGCGCACGTCAAAGTATGAAAATGAATCGAATGACATTCCCGTTTCATTCAAAATATACTCATTATACATATCTTATTATAAATAATCATCTCCTAAAAGACAACCTTGCATTCGATATTCCGATTAAACTCTACCGTTTTAAAGAAACACCTGCGCGCGAGGACATATTCCAAATTCATGAAACTTTCTTCTGGACACCTGTATCATGTGAAAAAAACTCGTGTTCAAAATCATTAATTTTTCATGGATCATCCGTGGGTCATTCATGTAATCGGATAGTTCTATCGTAGAATTTCCATTTTATTCTTAACATTTTTGGGAGGATTTTTATATATTTGATGAATATGATAGAGACAATAGTTTTCGTGAAAATTATTGTATATTTCGGAAAATGATAAAAGATAAAAAATGATAGAGAGAAACCGTTTGCAAGAAAATGTTTGAAAAATTGTAGAAAAAATTGAGATAATTTTGACTTTGATGTATTTTATTTCACTGCATTACATTTAAATTTGCCTCAATGTAAACTCTATATCAGACTCTCGAGGTTCTCGAGCCATTGCACCGCCATGCGTTGGTATAAAAATACTCCGACTCTAAAAATAACTATAGAGATCAGACCATGGTTTCACAATGTAGACTTGTATATATTATGTGTTTGTTAATTAATAGCCATATTGATAAACTCTATCACTAGATATATAATCTAGTAATTATTCTTTGAAATATTAATCACTTTTGATATCAATTTTAATATTCGGAAATTCTGAGGCCATTTATTATAGCAACATAAATAACGCACTGCTTTGTTTATTTTCTTATCAAAGTTATAATTAAAGATAGCTCGGGTATAATTTGGAATACTTCACCGTAAAATTTTCCATGGAAAAAAGTGGAAAGAGAAAAAATAGATTTTTATATCACCGATGAAAATGCAGTTTGATATATATATATCAGCAAATATTCTTAAAGTATTAAAAAATTCTCAACTAATATCTCCTTTTAATTCATTGGTTTTTAAATTGATAGTCACGAAAGTAAATAAAATAAATTGATTTTTCTAATGACGAAATTTAAAAAGTTTCTTTTAAAAATCTTAGGAACTAAAACGTGACCTTTCGATGACGACATTGACTTTTCTCACCATCTACTGATACCGATGACGTAAAAAATATGTTATTGTCAGTACCATGCATGTTTTCTCACTCTGTAAAAAATATTCAAATACAAGAACAGATACCAAAAAGGTATTTGCATCTAAGCATTTTGCATCACTGAGACTGAATCATGAATTTTTTTTATGATAACAGACGGTGGTTGTCATTGTTAAAGTATTCTAAGCAATTATGCGGAAACACTCGCGCCTATCGCCTGTCGATATGCTCGCCGACAGGCGAATATATCGCATAATTAACGTCGTCAATTTTTCGCGATCAAGGTACACGGGCGGTTCACGAGAAAAAAGAAATCCGCGCGCAGTGGCGCGTACGCCACGTGCGCCTGCGCGTCCCGATCGACGGCGGGAATCGCTTCGCGGATCAAAATTCACGTGGTTCAAAGTCGGGTCCGTCATCTTTTCTCCCAAAAACACTCAAAAGCACTCTCCCCCCCCCTCCCCCCTCCCCCGTGAAGTGTTCGATTCATTTTTACGTTCGCGCGAAGCGAGCCGCGATCGAGGCTTAAAGATCGAGACGCGTTACCTCTGGTCCCTGCGAAGTCGCACTGTCACCGGTGTGCGTCGAAAAGTTCCAGTTTGCCGAGAGAGAAAAAGGCAAGCCGAAGGCGAGACACGCCGCGCGCGTGCGTGTGCGTAGATGCGTACGTACGCGTGCACTAAAGAGTCGCGCGCGATGTGACTCGAGCGGAAGGTCCGCGGACCGTCGCAACATTATACCGGGTGTGCCCCGCGAGTTTGCGGTCTTTTTAGCGATAACGACGGGATACCAGATTGGCCCGTTTCGAAGTGGAGGAATCGAGGCTGCTCCATCGTCACAGACACCGACCGATATTGGTGGGATTTCTTTTCCGCGCGCTTACGGGCCCCTCCCTCCCCCTCGGATGTCCCTCTGGGATGTCTGTGCGACATTTATCCGATAAGCGTCTCAACTATCCAGATCACGAGATTACACATTGATATGAAGTTTCTAGGCTTTTTCTGGATTAGTCGTTTCAATAGATCATCCACGGCGCCAACATGTCAAGATGAAATTCCTTGTCGAAACTGAGAAATTTTTTTCAAAATTTTGTTGAATTAATTGGCGAAAAAACTGACAGATCAACATATTAAAAAAAAAAAACATTAAATTGAGAAATGCTTGATTACTGAATAAACCATTTTTTTATTCTTACGTAGACCAATGTACGTCTTTGTAAATTTAGTTAAATATGAAACTTTGTTAGCGATAAAGTGGAGCTCTCCTCCGAGATTGATAATTGTGTTTTAATCACAAACGATTTGTGACAATTCGAAACAAGAATGTTTTTGAATGACCCATTGGGACCCAGGCAACAAATGTTTAATTCACGTCTGTCTCGTCGCGATGGCGTCCGGTATGATGCAACAATCGTAGAAAGTTTCGATGCCGAAAAATCTCAGCATCGAATCGTTTCGACAGTTCAGTAAATCGTCGTTCATTATGACGTTTACGTCTGAGTGCTCGAAATTTTGGCGAAATCGTTTACATTACTTTTGTATTCATTTGCATTCTCGGGGAATGTGCAAAATGTCGCGTCGTTTCGTGAATAAAAGTAAGAGTGGAAAAACGAAGAGGTGAGCTCGATGCTGTGAGCGTGCAATGAGATTCTTAATTCTCGAGAAATATCACGCGAGAAATGTTATAAATCAATGGTAATCAGTTGTAATCGGTGTGAGTGAAGGAGGTCATCAAAAATCCAAATGGCATCGCGCTGCATCCGCTTATTCTATGTGTCACTGATATCGTTCGCTGATTATGCGAACGCTACTGAATTTTAACTAGATCCGATAATGCATCGCTGCGCGTTTTGCAGCGAAGCGACAGAGCAATACTTGTTTTTAATAAATTTCCATCAGGGACGGTAAAAGCACTATTGATAAAAGGTGCTTCATCCGAAATAAAAAAATGTCAAAAGCATTTTTTATTAATTTCTTTATTTTAAATATAGAATATTTTATATGCAAATAAAATTTTAAAAAAATATAAATAAAATTATCTAACTTAATGGTGGCATCTTTCATCGCTGTTAAAATAGGAAGAAAACGACAATGCTGAATGATAGAATATAAAGATCACGTTGAGTTAGATTCGCATTAGATTTTAAAATAGAGCTTTATTTATTCTTTACATATGCCGCATATTTTACATGTACATTTGTATTGTAGACTTTTTTAAATCTGTATTGCAACACGCATAAAATTGAAATTACATTGGAATTTTATTAAAATAAATAAATAAAATTCTGCCTTAATTTTAAAAACGAATTGCGTCACCACGATGATGGATTTAAATGTAAATCGTAATACGTAATTTGAGGGTACCCCATTACGACCCTCGTTTTTTTGCCATCGGCCTTTCTTTTATCGCGCGATTCAATTGGAAAGGCCCCCCCGTAGCTCAGTGTCAAGTTTCAAGTTTAAGTTTTACCGTTTCAGGTTTTCCATTCTGCGACGACGGCATGCACGAATGTACGTGCATACGTCGACGTTGGCACGCGCGTGCACGCTTATTATAGATTGTACACACGCCCCTCGATCAAGTGCACTGTGCATAACTAAATGAAACGTAACGCGCCGCGATCCCCCTGCCGCGTAATATACACTGTCCGTGTATTTTATATGCCCTTTCTGATTATGCAAAGTTTAACCTTAGGTGTGCGTGCCGAACGTGCACTGAGCTGTGCGTGCTTTCAGAAATCGCGCGATCGCGCACCGGCGAACCGTCGCGCGCGCCGTGTCGCGTGAATGAGCTGTCCGTTCGTTTTGCCGTAAACAGATAATATTCGACGGACGTCATTTGTCATTATATGACTAACAATTAGGTCACTCTTATCTCTTGTAAGTCATAAGACAATAAAGAACAAACAGCGGGAGCTGTAGTTACAGCCGCGATGTAAAATCAAATACAAAATATTTAACTCGATAAAATTTTATACGAAACTCACGTTTTTCAGACACGTAAAATTTCTTTTGTGCGAAATTTTTTTATTGCAAAACATTTTTTTCTCTGAAATAGAGGAAGGACCTCTAAAAATTAAAAAAAAAAAATAAATAAATAAAATAAAATGTACGTGTATGTAGGAATTCCTCCAGAAAATGAAAGTCGCTGGCAAATCGCAACCCCTTAGAAGCCGGACGCGCGGCGTCGAAACGGCGCGAGTGCCGTCGATCGGCGATAAGGATTCCGGAGGCGACTGCCCGATAACTCGTTTCAAGTCGGGAGATTGTACGAGGCGCGCTCTCTAACGCAACTCGTTTTCGACGTTTCCAAGAGCTCGGAACTGGTAATAGCGGGGCGACGCGTGACGTAACGAACGCGTGAAAAGTTCCGTTGACGGCGGAGAGGTCCGTTCGGCGATCTCAAGCGTGACACGTGTCGCGCGAAACGCGCCGGGGATCCGCACGCGGGACGTCGCGTCGGATCGCAAGATCGTCGGCAAATAATTGCTCAGTTGGAAACCGCGAGCGATTGACATATGCGGGCCATATGTAGGAGAAACTGTTAAAGAGCGCCACGGCCACACGCGCGTCAATTCATGCATAATCGCACGGCGTGCTTTGGCCTCCGCTCGCGATTTGGTTCTACATCTTTTCATTAAGCGCGGAATGCGGCGGCATCGCTGATCACGTCTTTTCAATCAGTGATGAATTAGTTGATCGTGACTTCGACCGATACCGTTCAATGCGCCCACGAAACGTGACCACGAAATTGAGTCATATCCTTTTCTTTTCTTCTGATGAGAAGATGATTCAGAATTTTTATAGCTTTGTGCTAATATCTAAAGACAAGAGAGAGAATGAGCAAGAGAGATGATACATAGAGTCCGATCGAAATCTGTTTCGGTTTCGGTTACGATTAGTTTCGGTCAAAAATTGAGGTTTCGGTTAGGTTTCGATTTCGGCCGAAATTGAAAGGGATCGTTTCGGCGACGTTGAAACTCATCAAGTTGTACTCGCAAGTTTTAAGTTTTACTATTGCAATCGTATAGTAGTATATTTATTAATATAAAATGTTTATTCCACTAGTTTTCCAAAGACTTTATTTTTATTTTATGTTTTGAAATTTTATTAATAAGATAAAAAATTTGTGATACTACACGGAAAGAATACTTTTGCTGGCAAATCTAAAAACCAGATTTGACCAGATACATATCTGAAAATAATTTTGTTGGCTTATCAATTGTAGAACACTTAAATATGATGATGATTAATACTGCAAAAATGTTTGATCTTCTAACAATTCAATTTGAACATCGTATATAATAATTTTGAAGGCCCAACAAAATTATTTTCAGATCTGTATCTAGCCAAATTTTTAGATTTGCCAGCAAAAGTGTTCTTTCCCCGTACAAATTGTGAAAATGTGTGTGTAATTATTGTTTCAATAATTAAATTATGATGTTTATAAAGAAGAAATGTATGATATATTTTTGTGCGCGCGTCTGTACATATTTCTTTCCAGGGTTTTCGTGAAAGTTTTGGTTTTGGCCGAAATTGACATATAACCGAATATTTATTTCCAGTTTCAATCGAAAATTAAAAAAGATTTCAGTT